TAATTAAAGGTGACTCCATTACAATTAATCTATTAACCTTGGTGCACCTATGAGAACTCCACCAATGTGAATGAAGCAAGGTTTTCTGTGACCAGGTCACGTTTGGGTAAAAGCAGTTTAAAGATCTTGTCTATATACATCCATCTGCTCATTAAGCTACTCTTCCCTGTAAAAGCGATACACCATTTTGGCCCTGGCGACAGGCTAGACATGGCTCACTGAAACAGACAACTCAGCAGAGGCCAGAGCATTTTGATGAGATGAAAAGCAAAATGCCGGGACCATTTTGGTAATTCCTAACAAAATAACATCTGACTTTTTGAGTGTCGTTTTTGGTTTTCCTTTTTTGGACCAAAAAACCTTTTACATTTTAGGGGAGTTTGATGGTGTCACAACCCTGGAGATGATGAGGTCAGCTTGCTTCTCTCCCAGCATGCAGTGACACTTCCCTGTATAGAATCACAATCTTTTTTTTTTTTTTTTAAGACTTTTTTTTTTTTAAAGATTTATTTTTTTTTATTTATACAAGCACTAGGTACAGTCAGAAGTGTGGGAGGGTGAGAGAATTCACCAGAGCCAGAGCGGGGAGCAGAGCAGGCAGAAGGACCAAAGTACACTGCTGAGGGGAGCAGCGGGCGCAGCAGGAGAGGTCTGCGCGCCATGTGGGACCCTCTTCCGGTGGCCGGGGAGCAGCCGGGGAGCAGCCGGGGAGCAGCCGGGGAGCAGCCGGGGAGCAGCCGGGGAGCAGCCGGGGAGCGAACCGGCGCTGCAGAGGCTGCGGGCCGCTTCGCAACCCAGCGCTCAACCGCTGCGCCACCGGGGAGGCCCAGAATCACGATCATTTTAACACAAGTTTAAGTTCGGTTGGCCCACACAACCTTAATAGATGGGGAATACACCTTTAGAGAAAGAATGAAAAAAACTGTATTCCTCTTAAAAAAATTGTAAAGAGGGGCCTCCCTGGTGGCGCAGCTATTGAGCGCTGGGTTGCGAAGCTGCCCGCAGCCTCTGCAGCGCCGGTTCGATCCCCGGCTGCTCCCCGGCCACCGGAGGAGGGTCCCACATGGCGCGCAGACCTCTCCTGCCGCCCGCTGCTCCCCTCAGCAGTGTACTTCGGTCCTTCTGCCTGCTCTGCTCCCCGCTCTGGCTCTGGTGAATTCTCTCACCCTCCCGCGCTTCTGACTGTACCCAGTGCTTGTATAAATAAATAAATAATTCTTTAAAAAAAAAAAAAAAAAAAAAAAACCTCGTAAAAAAAAAAAAAATTGTAAAGAGAAGCCAGTCCTGGAGGGCAGCTTAATAAAGGTCAAGTTGACTTTTAGCTATGCAAAACTGTAAACATTGAAAAGGGAGAAAGACTTGAATTTTCCCCTGATTGCATTCCCAACATTAAACATGAAGACATAGCTAGACGAGCAGACAGCAGCTGGTCTGCCTTCCACATGAGAGCCTTGGGAGGGGAGGACGGGGTTCCAGCAAGCTGTAGTGGTAGGTGCTTTGGCATTATGGCGTCAGGATGCGGGCCGTTCTACCTGAGCCACTTACTGAAAGTGTAACCGTGGGCAAGTTAGTTAACCTTCCTGTGCTTCAGTCTCTCAACAGATTTTAAGCAGCTAATCTTGTCTACTAAATACGGGGGAATACAGCAGTGAATAAAATAGACAAAGACCCTGCTTTTTTGGTGGGTTGTGAGGGGGTCAGGGAGGGGGGGTTCTGGGGCAATAATAATGTTTCATCATTTGATCTGGTGCTGGTGACTTGGGTGTACAATAGAAATTCTTTGCGCTGTATACTTAGATGCACTTTTCTGTGTGTGTATTTTACTTCAGTAGTTTTGTTTTTTTTTTAAATCCATGGTTTTATGGAGATCCTAGCTGTATTAAGTGAGTTAATTATGTGAAGCATGTAGAGCTGTGCTTGCCACATTGTAAACACTCAAAAAAAAAGTGGCTGCTCTAGCTTTTTTTTTTTTTTTTTTTTTTTTAAAGATTTATTTATTTATTTATTTATCTATTTATTTATACATACAAGCACTGGGTACAGTCAGAAGCGCGGGAGGGTGAGAGAATTCACCAGAGCCAGAGCGGGGCGCAGAGCAGGCAGAAGGACAGAAGTACACTGCTGAGGGGAGCAGTGGGCCGCAGGAGAGGTCTGCGTGCCATGTGGGACCCTCCTCAGGTGGCCGGGGAGCAGCCGGGGATCGAACCAGCGCTGCAGAGGCTGCGGGCAGCTTCGCAACCCAGCACTCAACCGCTGTGCCACCGGGGAGGTCCCTGCTCTAGCTTTTTTTAATGAAACCCTTTAATAGAGCCAACAAGGCCATCAGGGGGTATTCAAGAGATTCTGAGGGCTCGGCCCTGAGACTAGTACAGTCTTTCCATAAACCATTTAGGCATAGACCATGCCATCTGTTGCCCAAAAATGGGTGCTTTTTTATGATAAAAAAAATAAGAGCAATTTTGTTCACACTTGCCAACTAAAGGGATGCAGGGCTGCTGTGGACAGATGGACAGGTTGTGCACTGCACAAGGGCACCCTATTTAAGGGGTTACCCTTCATATCACAAGCCTCATGGGCTTATATGGTTATTACGAGTTTTTGGTAGGAGCTCTGGCAACCAAGTATTTATTCTAACAAAATTTATATTAAAATACCTTTCTGGGGCCTCCCCGGTGGCACAGGGGGTTAAGACACAACTTATGAAGCTAAATGCTGCCATTGCAGCACGAGTTCGATCCCTCGCCGGGAGCGACCCATGTGGTGCAGCAGACCTCTCCTGTCTTGCCCGCTGCTCCCCTCAGCAATTTATTAGGGTCAATCTGCCTGTTCTGTTCCCTGCTCTGTCTCTGGTGAATCCTCTCACCCACCCCCGCACCTCTGGCCTGTGCCCCGTTACTGTATGAATAAATAAATAAATCTTTGAAAATACCTTTCTGACAGATGGAACTTGATGGTATGATGAGAACCATTTTCTAACTTGCAAAAAAAGTTACATGGAAATGCCACCCAAAAACTTGAAAATAGAGAGAAGCCTGTCTTCTAGAAGCTTCTAGGATAGAGGTCCTGATGCAGCCACCTCAGACATGACACAGTCCTCACTCCTGGTACATCATGGGTCTATAGTTCTTTTAATCATTGAACTGGGACAACTTGACCTCGGTGGTTCTGCGGTTCCATCAGCCTTTGTGGTTCTGGACAATGGAAGTCTTTGAGAAGTTCTCTCTGGGGTTTGACAAGACCCTGACAATGTGACTTCAGTGAGTCCAGCCCCTTTTTAGCACAACTCAGAACCTCTCTTGATGAAGTGGGTTCTAGCTGATCTCAAGACCCAGGAGAGGGGCCTCCCAGGTGGCGCAGCGGTTAAGCGCTGGGTTGCGAAGCTGCCCGCGGCCTCTGCGCCGCCGGTTCGATCCCTGGCTGCTTCCCGGCCACCGGAGGAGGGTCCCACATGGCGCGCAGACCTCTCCTGCCGCCCTCTGCTCCCCTCAGCAGTGTACTTCCGTCCTTCTGCCTGCTCTGCTCCCCACTCTGGCTCTGGTGAATTCTCTCACCCTCCCGCGCTTCGGACTGTACCCAGTGCTTGTATAAACAAAACAAAAAACAAACAAACAAACAAAGAAAACATGCCCTCTATAAAAAAAAAAAAAGACCCAGGAGAGGGCCTCCCCGGTGGCGCAGCGGTTGAGCGCTGGGTTGTGAAGCTGCCAGCAGCTTCTGTAGTGCCGGTTCGATCCCTGGCTGCTCCCCGGCCACTGGAGGAGGGTCCCACATGGCGCGCAGACCTCTCCTGTTGCCCACTGCTCCCTTCAACAGTGTACTTTGGTCCTTCTGCCTGCTCTGCTCCCCACTCTGGCTCTGGTGAATTCTCTCACCCTCCCGCGCTTCTGACTGTACCCAGTGCTTGTATAAATAAATAAATAAATCTTTAAAAAAAAAAAAAAAAAAAGACCCAGAAGAGACGTTTATAAACATCTAACATTTGTTAAGACTCCTAGGTTCCCAACACAGCAAGGCTAGATGGGCCCTGACACCTGTAATGTTAAACAGGCATTCAAGGTGGCTGTCACGGCCAGGTAAGTATAGGAAACCTGGTTCTAATCGTGTTTCTAAAAAGGGACTGAAATCAGGCCATCCCCTCATCCCATAAAGGGAAGGGATGTGAGCAAGTGGGAGGCAATATTCACGTTCCAAAAGGCTGGTAAATGTGGTGGGGAAGGCAAAGAACAACCTGGGAAGCCAAATCCTGATTTTAGCTCTTTCTAGGCTGGGTCAGGGGAGCAGCTTGCTGCTTGCTGTGGCGGGTGGGTGGAGAGGTGGTGAGTGTACAAGAACCTGACCTTTGTGGGGGCTTGGGGGAGGAGGGAAGGAAGCTCATTATACAAGCCAAGGTCAAAGAGCAAAGCAGCCCCCGGGGGTGTCTGCCCTCTGGTCTGGGATTGGGCCACTGGGTCAACACCCCGGTGAAAGGACAGGTCTTTGCCTTGTCCTACTTTCAAGGACCAATGACACTCTGGGTACTGGAGTGCTATGGGTGACAGAATGGGGGAATTGGAGCCTAGCCTCCAAATCCTTTACAGTCCAGAGGGCTGCTGTAAATGGTTTCCCAGCCCTTGACCCCCTCCCCATTATCACCTATGCTCAGAGCAATGTCCAGGATGACACCCAAGCCTAGGCTGCAATCTTACTACCCATAATGCCTTTAGCAGAGGTCGGTAACAGCCCTGGAGGTAGAATAAAAAGGTATCCTTCAAGGACATGTTCTAATCTTCACTGGCCAGAAAGTTTCAGGTTTGTTCCATTTTCTATGATCACACTGCCCTAACTTGGGGGAGGAAAAGGGCTGAGCCCAGGTTCTCAGGGGTTCTCTGGCCCCCAGGAATTCTGACCCTGGAGCCTCCTCCCTGGAAGACACTTTAGTGGTAACCCCCTACCCCACCCCACCCCACCCCCTCCTGCCCCTACCCACTGGGCCCAGCCTGGGAAGTGAGAGGGAGGCTCCACACTGGTGCCCCAGGTGACCCGGAAGGGGGGCAGCTCCAGTGGGACTCCCCACCTTTCCTGCCTTCCAAGAAGCAACAGCTGCTTCCTATTTCCCTTTTAAAAGAGGCTTGTTGGTGGGGGTGGGTTAAGGCCAAGAAAACAAACCAGTTCAATCTGAATCACTCTGCCAGTGCCAGGAATTGGGGGGAGGGGCCTTGGCAGCTGTGGGGTGGTGGGGGCGTAATGGACATGGTGTCTGAAAGCCAGATCTGAGAGCCAGCTGTGCTGCTTAAGAGTAGGTCTTCCTGCATATCCCTCAGCTTAAGTGTCAGTTTCCTCGCCTATAAGTTAACAGCACCCACCTCACAGTGTGCTCTAGGGGTTAAAGTGAAGGCATGTGCAGTTGTCATCACTACTGCTGCCCTGATCCCTGCCCCCAGGACAGACTGGGGAGGGGCCTGAGCCTCCCACCCCTTCTCTGCAGGGGTCAGCCTTCCAGTTCCTCTCCTGCTCCCAGAGAACACGATGTAACCAGCTGTTGTTGGGGACTGGGCTGTCCTCCCCTCCCAGCGCCAGGCATACCAGGCTGGAAGAGCAGCGACCAGGTGTGGTCATCAGGGAGCAAGGTTCAAGACCAACAGCCAGGGCCAGATGGAGGTGGGAAGGCAGGGTGCAGCGGGGGCAGTGGAGTCACTGGTAAACACTTTACACAACTGGATGGGAAGGCCTTGGGGGAGAGGAAAGGCAGGAGGGAGGGAATAAGGGCAGTCAGGTGTCGAGAACCTCAGTGAGGCCTCTTGGCTTGGGGCACTCAGGGAGACCAAGGGCAGCTGGGGCAAGGCCAGAGTGCTGTGCTGGCCTCACCCCAAAATGTAGGCCCTCCCTGCATTTGCGGTTTCCCTCAGTTGGCAGGTTGAGCCTCAATGGTTCAGTCTCCTCACCCTTAGTCCCCAAGGCTGAAGGGAGAGGCAGGGAAGAGCAATAAAAGGGTTCCAGGACCCCATGGGGCTGAAGGGGACCCATGGGACTGAAGGTGACTTAGAAATCGGAACAAAAAAGGCCAAAAGATTTTTACTCTGTGAGCCCTAGTGAGGGCTGGGCAGAGAGCAAGGTGTCCACAGGAGGGGTAAGTGGGAGGAACTGGAGGCCTGCAGCCTTGTTTCCCAGTATGGGGAGAAGTGAGGGGAGGTGAAGGCCAGGCGTGGCCCATGAGCTCCAGAGGGCTCCAGTCCTGGGGCCCAGCTTGAAGCCTGCCCCTCCTGAGTCACACCATAGTCGTCGGCAGTCCTGACACGCGCGGTGGGCCTGCAGCCTGTCAGGAGAGTAACGCTGGGCAGAGGGAAGAGGCCAGCACGGCTGACCACAGCTGATCTGAGTCCTGCCCCAGGTTGCATCTTTCCCGGTCGAAGAGGGCACTGCCCGGACGGGGAGACTGGAAGCCAGAAAGCTGTCTTTGCCCGCAGGAGCCACGCTCCAGACTCTTCAGCTTCCAGGTCAGGGTCTCACTACCGGGGATGCTGGGTTAGGCTCAAAGCTCATCGGGGGGACTGTGCGTGAGGGGGGATGCCTTTTGGATGCCTTCATCTTCTTCAGGGCTGGGGTCTCCTTCGAGGCCAGTCAGCTCCTTCCTCTGTTTGCTGCCGCTGCCACCCAATGCCTTGGCCCTGCTGCTCTTCTTCTTCGACTTCTTCCCTCCCAGGGCTGCTGTGTCTCCCTTTTTGCCAGACCACTGCTCTGCCAGGCAACCTGGATGAGGAGGAGATAGACCTCACAGCCTGGTTTGCTGGGTGAGGGGCAATGACTGGGGCCAGTGGTGATCAGAATTGGTGTCTGACAGTCCCTGCCTCTGGCTCACAGTGGCCTGGTCTAGGGCCATGTCAGTCTCCAGCAGATTTCAGCGCCTCTTACCTCACCCTGTCCCATCAAGCTCCCTTGGGGCAGACATACCAGCATATCCCTATTTCCTATTTCTTTTTCATCTTCTCCCTACCCTCTTCTCATGAGGAGCTGGCCCACTCTGCCCTCTCCCTCCCGACAACTCACTGGTGTCCTTCCCCTTCAGCACGTGGTTGGCGCAGAGGAACTGCGTCAGGTCCTCCTCCTGGTGGTTTCTGTACCAGTCCTCGATCACCTCCTCAAACTCCTCCACCAGCACATCGCACTGTGAATCAAACACCCCACGTTGGCAAAGGCCCAGCACTGACTCGCTCGTTCCCACGAATCCCTGTGCCTCACCACCCACTGCAAGACAGGCAGGCAGCGGCGATTCTAGGGAAACTGAAGCCTGTCAAGACTCAACCCCCACCCACCTGTTGGGCACAGCAGCTTCTGAGGGCCCGAGGGCTTGTACCTGCTTCTTGAGGTCAGCCACCTCTGCAGAGGTCTCATTCCACAGCTCATAGGGGATATCCATCACCACCTTGACCCCTTTGTGTACCAGGTTGTGTAGGGTCTCAAAGGTCTCTGACATGCCCTGGGGAGGTGACCAGACATGAGAAGCAGATACACCTTCTCAAATTCCCAGGCCCCTCTTGGGTGGTGCTGGAGGCCCAAGGGCTCAGCTCTGAAAAGACAAGACCCTCCCAAACTTCTCACCCTTGACCTCTCCTTCCTCTCCTTTAGGCCTACCTCCCACCATCCCTACACACACACACACACACACACACACACACACACACACCTACACACAACTTCATCTTTCCAAGAAGGTCTGCCATTGTCCTTAGGCCTTTGAACAGATACTCCTTTTCTAGGAAACATGTTTGTCTTGGCTCTCTGCCCTTGCTGTGGCTGGGCACACTCCTCTACATCCAAGCCACTGCATGCTGGGGTTCTTCCCAGGGCTTGTGTCTTTCCTTGGTGGAAGAGGGCACGTTTAGATAGGAAGGACTCTTTGAGCTGCAAAGATTTCTTCCAGCTGACTCTGCTCTTCTCACCAGAGATAGCACACCATCTCTTTCCTCTATCTTTCGAGAGTGTATACAAATACATGCAGATGTGCGTACAAAAATACTCCCTTCCACCCCTGCTTTTTACAGAAGCAGTAGTATAAATCATATAAACTATTCTGCACTTTTTTTTTATTACTTAACAATATACCATGCCAATACTTTTAGTTCATTTCAAAAAGAGCTACCTCATTCTTTGTTTTACAATTGCAAAATAATCCACTGAAGGCCATATCACTTAACCACTCACCATATTGGTGAATGACTACGTTGTTTCTAATTTTTTCACGATGGAAAATAATCTGAAACATTTTTTACATGAAAGCAAACAGGGATGACTTATTGAGGACAAAATCCATACAAAATTTAAAGACAATACCCCAGACTTATGCAGCATAAGCCTGTCTTCCAGGTTTCCCAGGGGGTTCTGACTGATCTCCTTCACTAGAAGGTACTGAGATGGAGAAATGTGGGAGGCAACTGTCTTAGCATGGGAGGACATAAAGACAAGGAAACACAGGCCTTGTTCTAAGTTCATTATCCAGGGAGAGAAGCACTTGTGCACTTGGTAAGTACATTAAAATTCTACTAGGCCCTGAAGGCCCAGGTAGGTGCCTTCTCGGCCCAGAGGAGGGAGTGGGCACTTCATCACCAGCCCGCAAGTGTCTTCCAATGTCTCTTCCAAACCCCCACAGTTCTGCACATCCTGAGCTCTCCCTGCACGAGCAGGCCCCAGGAGGGCCTACTTACCTTGGAGTGTTTCTGCCTGACACAGGCATGGCGCTGATGGGCCAACCCACTCTGGATATGCGTATTGCCACCCAGCAAGGAGGAGGGCAAATGGCAGTCAATGGAAAATGGGAAGAGGCCAAGGAGGGAAGTCCCTAGGACATCTTCTTCAAAGGGCTGCCCTCCAGCAGACAAGTTTAGATACACACAGGCCCAACCTGGCTGGGATGAAGGACAAATACAAAGCCAACCTTGGCAAACCGGTTGCTGCCAGTCCTCTCCTTGTGCAGACTGTAGTCCAGAAGCCTCTTGCAAATGGTCTCAGTGACTTCAATTAACCGTAAGTCCCTGCCGAGACAATAGTGCAAGAGGGGCTGAGTCCCCCTTCCCAGCCCCCACGGGCCTATGGCCCGTCCCTCCAGCCCTGCTACCCCAACACCTGCGCATCTCACCAACGGGAAGTCAGAGCTGGAAGGAAGATAGGTCATCTGGTCTGGGGGCTCTGAAATGCTGGAACACAGACCAGAGAGACAAAATTTTAACAGCTCTATGGGAAAAATTTTTTATAAAGCTAAATGGTTCAGTATTTTGATTTTTTTACAAAGCAAAATGGACTAAATTTTGATGTTAAAATACTTCAGTCTGAAAAGATAATCATAGCTGATGGGAGGGTTTTTTTTGGTTTGTTTTTAATATTTATTTCTGGCAAAATTAAAAGCAGGTAATCCTAAATTACCAAAATTTTAAAATATTACATTGGGCCATGAAATCCAAGACTCTGGGAATCACTGATAAGGTCTGACAGGGATTTATGAAGGGCCCACAACAGGTTGGGGGCAGAACCACTAAGTAGGCAAACTTATGTGTCAGGTGGAGCTTCCTCCCTTTGGTGAGTCTGCCTAGCTGAAAGGGAGAAGGGAACACCAAGCCCCCAAAGCCTCCAGGAACAAAGCAGGTCAGCCAGTAGGTCCCCCATTCTCTTACGACTTGGTGTATTTGACTCCGGAGGCCTTCCGGTCCAGGATGCCATAGCCTGTGTCAATCACCTCCTTGGTCTTGCCAGTTTCCTCAAAGGCTGACTTCAGCTCCACGGCGACATATTTACACACTGGAAGAGGGGGACACAGCACAGTTTGAGTGTAGGCAAATCTGGTGGGAGGCAGCACCCAGCACAGACCAGGTGGGTGCCTCTTCCAGGCTTGAGTCAACACTTGAGGCAGGAAGGACCCAGCATCAGACCACCAAATGGATTTCACTGGGTCAAATTTGGCTCCAAGACACACTGCCCTGTATCCACTCTTTTTTTTTTTTAATCAAAGTCTTTTTTTTTTTTTTTTTAAAGATTTATTTATTTATTTATACAAGTACTGGGTACAGTCAGAAGTGTGGGAGGGTGAGTGAATTCACCAGAGCCAGAGCAGGGAACAGAACAGGCAGACTGATGGAATACACTGCTGAGGGAAGCATTGGGCGGCAGGAGAGGTCTGCGCGCCATGAGGGACCCTCGCCAGTGGCCGGGGATTGAACCGGCGCTGCAGAGGCTGCGGGCAGCTCCTCAGCCCAGCGCTCAACCACTGGGCCACCAGGGGAGGCCCCCTGTATCCACTCTTGACCCTGACTCTATCGACATAATTTTTCCCTGTTCTTCCCTGCCCCTACCTGGCTCAATCATTTTACTTTTTAAATTTTCAAAAATCATAAAGAACTGAAAGCTCATATTCAACAATTGTTACTTATCACAATCTAGATTATATAATGTAAAATATGACAATGGATCTCCATAACATATATGGTTTTTGCTAACTTTTTTTTTAAGGATTTGTTTATTTATACATACAAAAGCTGGGGTGTGGGCCAGTGGTGCAGGGGATGAGAGGTTTCACCAGAGACAGAGTGGGGAACAGAACAGGCAGATCTACTGAAATACACTGCTGAGGGGAGCAGCGGGCGAGACAGGAGAGGTCTGCTGTGCCAGGTGGGTAGCTCCCTGGCTGGGGACTGAACTCAGGCTGCAGTGGCTGGCGAGAGCTTGATAGTGCTGAGACTTAACCCCTTGTACCACCAGGGAGGCCCCAGTTTTGGCTAACATATTGAAAGCTGTGGACATGATTTCTTACCCTTAAATATGTCACCATGCATCATTGAGAATAAGGACTGTTTCTTGCTTAATGATACAGTAACTATGATACTTGGAAAACTGACAATAATTCCATCATTATCTAATACTCAGACTACATGTAAAATTCCCCATTTGACTCTTATAGCTGTTTTATTAGGTTTGAGTTCTTATATTGTTCCGGCACCCGCTCTCTATTCCTATCACTTAATTTGTTCCACCCCTCTCTTCCCCAGAGATCTTCCTTCTGGTTTCTGTACATTTATTTTCTCATTTCCTCTTACCTTTTCTCAAATGTTAAGCAACTCTGATGTGTCAGGCACTGCCTGAGGATACAGGCATGAATATAAAGTGCCTCCCTTTCAGCTGTTCGGTCTAACGGGGCACAAAGAAGTGTAGACAAATAATTACTAAAGCAAGAGGAGCAGTAGAGTATGAAGTGTCTGAGGTCTAGGGAAACACTTACTGCCCTCGAGGGGCTTTTCTGGCCCTTAGCCTTAAAAACCTCACCTTAAAAGCCTCCTCCCCCAGGAAGCCCTTCAGGATGAATCCTACCTCTCTGGATTTCATTCAGGTCTCCACAGGAAACCCGCTTTCAATAGGGGCCTGCAGTCATCTATGTCTCTCCAACTGGGCACCTGAAGTGAGTATCATGTTCTGGGTCTTCTCTGGGTTCCTCTATCCTGGGATTCTATGTGTTGGATACTTGAAAAATATTGCTGCTAGAGACTGTGTGTGGTTGAGCAGCTTCTGATGCCTCCAAATGGAAGGTCTGTAGCCTAAATGCCATCAGAGTTGTTATAACACTGACAGCAGAGTTTGGTAGAAAACCAATTTACCACCAAAACAGATAAATCCCCTGGAGGCTTGCTTGGTGAAGTTTTATGACATATACATAACCAGAGGGCTTGAAGAACTTGGAAGACAAGAAAATGCCAAAACATGGAGGGGTGATCTCAGAATGTGCAATGAATTGAGGGCGTCTCACACCCAGAATCATTTAGGCGCTCTCCCTTCTTTTGTCCTGTGCATGCTCATCATTTTTCTGGCTCCTTTGCCCCTTTTTCCCACGCCCTTGACATGTAGTATTCCAGGCCTGGGGGGCTGGAACCCATCAACCCATCTCTTATACCCGTCACCCACAACCTTGCTTCCCAACTCTTCCAAACCTTATCTCTTTAAGTCCCCCTCTGGGGATCCCACCCAGAACCAGACTTGGAGGAGAATCATGGCACAGACCCCAGACCCTCATGGACATCCACCCACTCTTTTTCTGGGCAGGTTTATCTTCCTCTGTGCCAAGGCCCGTTCCACTAGGGCTACTGAGCCAGGAGGCAGGTTTTGTGGGGCAGACATAGTCAGCATTTAATAATCAAGTGTAACAATGATAAATAAAAGTAACACACTATTAAGAGGAGCCTAAGGGCTGGAGTTTGCCAAGTCATCCTGTGACTGAAAATCCCTTTTATTTATTTATTTATTTATTTATTTATTTATTTATTTCTTAAATAGGTAGCCAAACATTTCTATTTATTTAATCTTTTTTTTAAAGATTTATTTATTTATTTATACAAGCACTGGGTACAGTCAGAAGCGCAGGAGTGGGGGCGGAGGGGGCGTGTGTGTGAGAGAATTCACCAGAGCCAGAGTGGATAGCAGAGCAGGCAGACTGACAAAGTACACTGCTGAGGGGAGCAGCAGGCGGCAGGAGAGGTCTGCGCGCCATGTGGGACCCTCCTCCGGTGGCCGGGGAGCAACTGGGGATTGAACGGGTGCTGCAGAGATTGCGGGCAGCTTCGCAACCCAGGGCTCAACCGCTGCATCACCAGGGGAGGCCCTGAAAATCCCTTTTAAATGAATTTATCAATTACCTACAAAACGAGGTTGGGCTACAATGATCTCTAAGATCCTTGTCTGTGTCATGTTTCTATGACTCTGTAGCTACCTCCTAAAGGAAAGATGGCAATGGGGCCTCCCTGGTGGCACAGAGGTTAAAGACAATGCTATCAAGCTATCCCCAGCCAGGGAGCTACCCACACTGTGCAGGAGACCTCTCCTGTCTCACCCACTGCTCCCCTTGTTAGGGGGAAATGATGTCCTGAGCTAATTCCATACAGGCTTTGTGGACCCCACCCCAACTCCAGACTAAAGCCATCATCGGGGTTGTTCTACAACACCCTCAGCGGCGTATATCAGTCCATCTGCCTGTTCTGCTTCCCACTCTGTTTCTGGTGAATCCTCTCACCCGCCTCACCGCACCTCTGGCCTGTACCCCAGTTCTTGTATGCATAAATAAATAAATCTTGAGAAAAAAAAAGAAAGATGAGAATGGCTATGAGAAAAAGAGACTCTTTGATATAATTGTAAGACAGGAAACAAAAAAAGGAGGAAGTGAAATCCTCAAAGGGTATCAGCAAGTACAAGAGAAAGAGTAAAAAGAAAGCATCATGACCCTCAATCTGTCTATTCAAGGAAGTAAGAGAGAAGGTGTTAGGGGTAAAGGATGTCCGGAGCTAATCCCATACAGGCTTTGTGGACCCCACCCCCACTCCAGACTAAAGCCATCAGGACACTGGGAAAGACAAATCCCATCACCACCAAGGGAGGGTGGCTGGGACCTGAGGGTGGAGTTGGGCAGCCAGGTTGGATATAAAAACCAAACACGTGGGCCTTGGGTTGCTCGCCTCCTGGCTACACAGCTCCTGGCTCGCGGCCAGCTCTCAGAGGGCCATTTTGGGATTCCTGATCGGCGGATCGGGTAGGACTCATTTAAAACTTTGTCTCCCACTTTTCTCCCTGAGCTGTACATTTCCTCATTTCCCCTTCCCTTGTAAATAAACCTTTATTAACCTTTCGCGTGTGCCTGCAGTAGAACATTGATAAGTCCTTTTAAGCGCGCGGGTGAGGACCCACAGTCAGGCAACCCGTTTTGTATTGGGGTTGCTCTACAACAAAGGTACAGACTAGAATCCATACGAGCAGTGAAGTCAGCCTGTCTGTGAAACACTTCACCTTTAATCTCACAAATGGAAGGATTATGTCCAAGAGCATTTACCTCCACTTCCCAGTGCTTAGGGGACATCTGGCTTGCAGTAGGCTTTGAATGGGAATGAAAGGGATTTACAGTCAACTTTGGGTGGGGGGGCTGGCGTTAAGGAGGAGGGAAGGGAGGAGTGACTGTAAAGATCTGAGGATAAGGCAGAAATTGAAGAGAAGGAGGAAAAAGGAGGCTCTTCATAGTCTCAGATTGTTGGCTTATATGCTGGTTCTCTTCTCTCCCCTGCCCCCCACATTATCCCCATCCACCCAAGTGCCAAACATCCACCCCCATGTCTTTGGGATTCATTCTTTCTCCATATTCCTAAGATCTTCTTCACCAAGTTCTCTCCCAGGCTCTTCTCAAAGTGAGCCCTTAGGCCTCAGACTCCCCTCTTGCTCGACACAAACACACAGCACCTCCCCTCCCCCCGTTACTGAGTGCCACCAGGCATGGTGTGAATAAATCTGAGACAATTCTCTGCCCTCTAGGAGCTCACAGATAGTTGGGGAGAGACAGTGAATTACAGATTAGGCGGTGAGCACAGAAGGGAGTGTCTCAGGTTCTTCTTCCCCCTAGGCTAGTCATATGGGTCTTTTCAGTTCCTCAAATTTGTCCTTTGCTTCTTAGCTGGGAGGCCTCTGCATCTGCGGTTTCCTAAACGGGACCCTCTCTTTTCGCTTCTCTTCACCCGCGAACTCCGCATGCCTCTTGGGTTTCCTACAAGAAGCCTTTCCAGACTTCACTCTACACACAACCCTTCTCCCCATCTCTGGGCTAGATGCTCCTCACCAGGCCCACAGCCCTCCTCTACCACGCATCTGCTCCCCTGGATGGTAACTGCTTGTTTTTACCGACTTGTAAATCCCAGGTGCGCCGGGAGCGTCCAGCACCGGACCAAGCACACAGCAGGCGCAACGCGCGAGGACCCCCCGGACCCTCACCTGCAGGCCCCGCCCCCCGGCATGAAACTCCCCGCGGGCCCCGCCTCCTCACCTTCGCATTTGCTGGGCAGTCGGACCCAGTCGGTCTCCTCGGCGTGGGCACGGCTGGGGCCCAGCTGCGGGCCGGGCAGCAGCAGGAGCAGCGGGAGAAGCAGAAGACAGCGGGGGCCGGGCCGGGGTGAGGGCTCAGGCAACGGCTCCATGGCCCAGCCGGACCCGACCCGAGGGACCGGGCTGCGCTTCCTCCCGCGGCGGGCGCCGGGCGGCCTCCCCGCGCCGCTTCCGGGACTGCACACGTGCCCGGCGTCACCACGGCAACGCGAGCCCCCGCCCGCTCCCGCCTCCGGCCGCCGCGGCCGCCTGCAGGCCCGGAAGGCCCGCGGATTACGCCGCCAATGGGGTTTTCGGGGTTTGCCCTCTAGCGAATGGGAGGCCGATATTTTTTCGGCGTCGGCCAATGAGAGGACGCATGGTGTCCGCAGTGACCTATGGCAGCGTCTTTCCCCAACCCCGCGGAGGCTCTGGGAGGGCGGGAGGCCAAGTCCCGGGACGCGCGGCGGTGGGCTGCGCCGAGTGCAAGGGTTCGAGGCGCTGGTCTTGGAGACGTGGGGGAGCCCCTCCACGCTGTCCTCGCCGTCTGCCTACACGTCACTTCCCTCTGGGGTCAAAATGCAGCAAGCCCTCGCCGAGCACCTGCTTGTACAGTTTACTATTTTGCTTGTCAATTATTATTGTTGTTGTTGCTGTCATTGCCAGTCACTCTCGTCGGCGCTGTGGGTGAGACCTAGAAGGCTCAGACGGTCCCCAGTAACCCTAGTTTGCCCCGGTAGAAATGGAAAGAAATAATATTCTCTCTGGCTTTCAGTTTCTGTCCCTCCTGGCTGCTGTTCCAGGTTCGCCTGTTGCAGGGAAGCTCGAAGTGGTTAATAGAATTACTGCTTACCCAGCCAATTGTAAAAAGTTTATGCATTAATTTTCTTTTCAGTGCGTAACCTCCCTTTTTTGCACTATTATTTACTTCTTTGAATTCTGATCTCTCAGAAGGCAGGACTCAGCTAATGAGAGATTGTAGTTCCCTTCCACCTCCTCAGCAACAACGGGTACAAGGAGATGCCCAGTGAGACCTCCGCCTGCTGTGTCATCCAGAGGGGGCTCTCTGGGTCTTTAGGGCTGCTTCAGGCTGCGCTTGAGCTCAGCACCCTTTGGACACACACAGGCCCAAGTTGTTTTTCTGGGAAATGGTCTGCAAATCCCACTTTTTGCCATGAAGTCCTGTTTCCTAGTGCCTGTTGTTTCCTTCCTAGAGGGTGAATAATTTCCTATTTTATGAAGACTTCAAAGGACTGAGAGATCCTGCCCTTTGCTGTCATTTATTGACCTTAACATTTTTTTTTTTTAAGATTTATTTATGCATTCAAGAGCTGGGGTGTAGGCCAGCTGCGGGGGTGTGTGTGTGTTTGTGTGAGAGACAGTGGGGAGAGAACTGGTGATCTACTGAAGTACACTGCTGAGGGGCGCAGCGGGGGAGACAGGAGTGGTCTGCTGCACCATGTGGGTAGCTCCCTGGCCGGGGATCGAATTCGTGCTGTAGTGGCTGCCAAAAGCTTCATATTGCTGAGACTTAACCCCTTGAGCCACCAGGGAGACCCTGACTGTAACTTCTTACTGAAGGTAATTGTGTGGGTGAGCAGGTACTTTGGAGAGGCAGGGGCTGCAGTATGCAGAATTCTACAGTATACAGGGTCAGGAACTCCCTTCTGATATCCTCTCTATTTTCTAGGCTTCTAAAGAACAGGGGAGCCTCAGAGCCTGGCCATAGTCCTAGATTTATGTAGACCCAGGAGTCCTCCTGAAAAATAACAATCAGCCACACTGGAAACTCAGAATCCAGGGCAGGGCACAATTGGGATGTTGGGGCAAGGTTGGGGAAGTGTGTGGAAGCTAAGGAAAACCCTGCTTCCAAGCATGAACAAAATGATCTCTGAGAGGACACCGAGGTAAAAATTAGTTTGACAGGAGCCCTGGGCTCAGCGTCTGAGCTAAGAGCTAGGAAGGGTCAGTGACTAGAGAAAGTCTGAGGTTACAGCTGGCCACACCCTCACCCTGACCCAGCCTGCCTCCTATCTTGGCTTGTGTGTTAAGGAAGGAGCAGTCTCTGTGAGGGTGATGGGCAGATTCACAGCTACAGTTGTAGGATAGCCAACAACCCCCATCCCCACCCAAGAATCCAAAAGAGAGATGAGAATCTTTGCAAGCTAGTGAGAGATGGGCAGCGGAGGAGACTGAGGGTTTTCATGGGACAATAGCTAAGAAGGTTGAGAGATGCCAGTGACACTGTGTGTATGGGGGAATGTTAGTGTATAATTAGTTCCCCATCACCACCTGGGGGAGAGGAAGGCCAAGCTAGCACCACTGACCCAGAAAACTGTCCTATGTTGCCCAGGGACATTTGGATTTACATGAAAGTGCTGAGAGATTTTTGGGGAAATTACTGGAGAAGAACAACTGGGAAAGACTGGATTTCCTGCCAGTGCTGGGGAAACTGGGGACATACAGATTACACCCCATGGTGGGCACCTTATGTTCTATCATGCAAGAAGCTTCTTTAAGAAACAAAACAGGGCCTCCCCCGTGGCGCAGCAGTTGAGCACTGGGTTGCGAAGCTGCCCGCAGCCTCTGCAGTGCCGGTTCCATCCCTGGCCACTGGAGGAGGGTCCCACATGGCGCGCAGACCTCTTCTGCCGCCCGCTGCTCCCCTCAGCAGTGTACTTCGGTCCTTCTGCCTGCTCTGCTCCCCGCTGTCACCCTCCCGTGCTTCTGACTGTACCCAGTGCTTATATAAATAAATAAATAAATAAATAAATAAATAAATAAATAAATAAATAAATAAATCTTAAAAAAAAAAAAAACTGCAACAATAAAATAGACCCCCCCCCCAAAAAAAGGAACAAAACAAGGGGCTCCCTGGTGGCGCAAGGGGTTAAGATGCAAACTATGAAGTTATCCGCAGCCACTACCCCACCAGGGAGCTACCCACATGGCACAGCAGACCTCTCACGACTCACCCACTGCTCCCCTCAGCAGTGTATTTCAGTCAATTTGTCTGTTCTGTTCCCCACTCCGTCGCTAGTGAATCCTCTCACTGCCCCCCCCACACCTCTGGCCTGTACCCCAGTTTTTGTATGCATAAATAAATCAATCTTAAAAAAACAAAAACAAAAACCTCTTTAGTACCTGGCTCAGCGTTGATGTGATGCTCAACGAATATTTGTCAAATGAATAATGACCCTCAATTGATTAATAACGTGGAAGTTTGGAATTACTATCCATACTCTTGGCATTGGATGTGATCCTATTACAGGGGGATCCTGGCCCTGATCACGTATGTCGAGTCTGTACAAGATTACACATCAGGCCGAGCACCCCGCCTTCCTGGGTTCCTGGGCTCCTTGCCCTGACAGCTCCCAGAAGTTGGCCAGGGTGAGGAGCCAGAGTGGGAGCTTTGCCTGGCTGTGGGGGAGACAGAGATGGGACAGCATCCTTTCCAGCTCCCACCCCGACTCTGTAATTCCCAGGATCACCCTCTGGAAGCCCTCTTCCTCAAGGATAACTTCTCAGACGTTTGCCAAATTCTCTCCTCCCAGAGCAGACATGAATTAAAATATTTTTTATTTGCTTGTGTCATTTAAGTTCTCCTTTAATGATGTGCACTTCAAATGCCCCCTGTGCCCAGATGGATCACCACTCTCAAGGGGCACAGCCCTTCCCCTCAGAAAGCCCTCAGTCTGAGGGGGGAGCCAGCGCTCCGGAGCTCCGGCCCTGCAGGAGGGGGCAGGTCGCAGAAAAGCCCCAAGGCCTGCGGCAGGAATTCTGAGGGCTCGTCCAGCGCGCCAGGCCCAAGCTCGCTCAGCTCCCCTCCCCTCAGAATGGGGCCCTGGGATCCCGACGCGGAAGGCGGGCGTGAACCCCGCGACCGTCCCGAGACGGCAGCGTCATGGGGGCCGACCCCGCGAGCCCGCGCCGGCCTGACCCCGCGTCGCAGCCGAGAAGGCGGTGGCTGGGGGCCGCCGAGGGCTGCCTACCGCGCCGAGCCGGCGGGTGGAGAGGGCAGCCGGCGCGCGCGGCCGAGGGGGGTGCGGGGAGGCGGCGGGCCCGCGGGCCCGGCGTGGCGGCCGGGTCCCCTCGCGCGGCGGGCTGGGCGCGCAGGTGGCTGCAGGTCAGGAGCACGTCCACCAGCAGCAGCTTGAACAGCAGCAGCCGCAGCGCCCCCAGCCGCAGCTCCAGGCCCCGCGTTCCTGGCGGGGAGAAGGTGCAGATCAGGAGCCTGGAAGTTCGCCCACAGCCTCACGCCCAGGAAAATGGTCACCAGGGCGGCGGGGCTGGGATTCTGCTCCTGCCCTCCTCCTCTCCTTTGGCCCCCGAATCCAGGGAAAGTCCTCCCTGGTGTCTGACCTCAGCATCTGCTAGTAATCACAAAACATACCTTCCCAGCCTTCATTTTATTGTATTTGGGATGCAGGCCAGGCAGGAATTAGGAGCTGAGGCAGAGGAGAGTCACCAGATCAGAATTCTCTATTTTTCCATGGCCTGTGACTCTGTCCAGTAGGTAGAGGGTGTTCCAGTCCCCAGACAGTCTCCCGTGTGTACAAGGCTCCAAGCCTGCAACCACCCACCTATGCTGTCCAGGACAGCTGCGCCCTTCTGTTAGCTCTCACCTGTGCATCTCACCTCGTGTCTAAGAATTCCTGGGGAACATCTTATCTACTGGGATTGAGGCCCATGTCAGCCAGTGCCCCCACCCAGCAAGGGGTCACCCATCAAACCCCTCTCCCCCAGTGACACCAGTCAGGCCAAGGTCCTGGTCCCCAGTACTCACCCCCGAGAGACTCCCAGAGGCAGGTCCTGGCTGAGGAAGCCTTACCTGTCAGCCAAGGAGAAGGGAGTGAGTCGTCTGGAATGGGGCATGCCCTCCACCCCAGTGCTAACTCCAGCCCTGCACAGGGCAGCTGTGAGTGCAAATTGGATAAGTGAACAAATGAGCCATGCGTGGGGTCCCTGAGCCCATTTTCGGCAAGTCCTCTGAGAGCCCCTCACCTACTCACTCCCCTCTGTGCACTGTCTGTGCCCCAGGGAGGCAGAGGGGCCTCAGAACTTTTAGAGAAGGAACTGATTTTCCTAGTAGCCTTTTTTGAAGGCAGAGCATTTAATCAGCAAACATTTCCATTTGGGAAATGACAGAGTGACCATAATCCAAATAATCCAAAAGGAGGAAGTAAGTCATCTGTTAGTAATAATAATTGCTGGCTTTGGACAAGCTGCTTTGCTTCTCTGAGACTGCAATATGACTTACTTCATGAATGCAAAATGTTGAGAACAGAGTAAATACTAAAGAAGTGATAATAATTTAGTATTTAATTATTGTTTTAAAGAATTATTCCTTTATTGTAAGATTTTAATTTTATTTATTTTTGTGTAGGGGAACTGGGGTGCAGGCCAGAGGTACGGGGGTGGGGTGAGAGGATTCACCAGAGACAGTGGGGAGCAGAACAGGCAGATCCACTGATATACACTGCTGAGGGGAGCAGAAGGTGAGACAGGAGAGGTCTTCTGTGCCATGTGGGTAGCTCCCTGGCTGGGGTTCAAACTCAGGCAGCAGGAGGGCCTTCATGATGGTAGCACTGATGCTTAACCCCTAGGCCCCCAGGGAGGCCCTTTAGTATTTAATTATTATTATTTTTTTAAGAGGCATGTATTTTTATTTTTATTTATGATTTATTTATTTGTTTGTTTGTTCTGTTTATACATGCACTGGGTACAGTCAGAAGCGCGGGAGGGTGAGAGAATTCACCAGAGTCAGAGCAGGGAGCAGAGCAGGCAGAAGGACAGAAGTACACTGCTGAGGGGAGCAGCGGGCAGCAGGAGAGGTCTGCGCGCCATGTGGGACCCTCCTCTGGTGGCCGGGGAGCAGCCGGGGATCGAACCGGCGCCGCAGAGGCTGCGGGCAGCTTCGCAACCCAGCGCTCAACCGCTGCGCCACCGGGGAGGCCCAGTATTTAATTATTGTTTGATCCTAATAGGCAGGTCAAATATAGGGCGATAGATTGATATAGAGATTTATCTTGAGTTATATCTGTATCTGTATATATATATATAAAACAGGGAGGAGGCACTATTACTTCTTGGAAGTCATGCATCAGAGCCTGGATTTGAGAGATATCATGAATACACATCCCAGGACTCAGGGCCCCAGGGCTACACTGCTCTGAGCCCAGGCATCCCCTCACCCAGACGGTCTGCACTTGGACACCCTTCATGACCCCATGGCCTGGAGCCCACCCTTTCTCCCCCATATCCTAGCCCCAGGTATGTTAGTAGGGACCCAGGCTCCATTCCTACCTGAGAGCTGTAGGGGCTGTGTGCTCCAACTGAGGTTCCCAGGCCCAGTGTGGCAGACCAAGCTCTCCCAGGCTGCTAGCTCCTCATAGGGCAGGGAGAGCTGGGCTAACCTAGTCCAGGTGCCATCCGCTGCTAGAGAAGGGCCATAGGTGAAGGCCTCCAGTGCACTGCCATTGCCAGCTGAGAACCAGATGGGACTCTCAAGGCCAGGGGGTGCAATATCCAGGACCAGGCAGACCACCAGCATCTGTTGCTTCCCATTCACCAGCAGTGTGACTGGCGGGGCCAGAGAGGGGAAAGGCGTGCCACCCAAACCTGCAAGAGAGCACACACCTGTGTGGGTCCCGTCCATGCCCTCCCAGACCCGCGTCTCACTATCCTTCCGTCTGGTTTTCTGTCCTTTCTGCTATCCTTCCACCACCCACTCGTCCAGCCCACTCTTTTATTTTTTTATTTAAAAAATTTTTTTTAAGATTTATTTATTTATGCATACAAGAACTGGGGCACAGGCCAGAGTTGTGGGGTGGGGGAGGGGTGAGAGGATTCACCAGAGACAGGGAAACAGAACAGGCAGACTGACTGAAATACACTGCTGAGAGGAGCAGTAGGTGAGTCAGGAGAGGTCTGCTGCGCCATGTGGGTATCTCCCTGGCCGGCCAGGGATCGAACTTGTGCTGCAGAGGCTGCAGATTGCTTCATAGTGCAGTGCTTAACCCTTTGCGCCATGAGGGAGCCCCCCTCTCTTGTAACGTACCCATCTAACCACCCTTCTTTCTATGACTCATCCACCATCTATTTATCCATCCCTTTGCCATCATCCATCTTTGCCACCTCTATTCTTGCACTTTCCAGCTATAGATCCATCTAACTATCCATCCATCCATCCATCACTTAACCCTCCTTCCTTCTATTACCTGTCTCTCTTATCTGACCTTTTCTATGCCAGGCATTGGGGATACAACATTAATTAGATATCGTCACTGCCCTCAAGAACTCAGTCCCATGGGAAAGACAGCAGATGCACAAACAAACACTTACAATACCTTGTTGTGCCAGCCTCAGGAGGGTGGTTACCTCTGGGGAGAAGGAAAGAAAATAGGGTCTGGAATGAGATCAAAGAGGCCTTCAAATTTTGTTTCTTTAAAAAATATATCTAATTCAAATAGGGCAGAATTTTAATCACTTGTTAATCTGAGTGGAGTATGCTTTGGTGTCGTCTTTTTTCTGTTAGTCTTAGAGGGTTTTTTTTTTTTTTAAAGCTTGCTTTAGCTGTAATCCACATACCATACAATTAATAAAGAGTACATTTATAACTTACTTAAAGAAAAAAAGTAACCTAGAAACCCAGCATGTGGCCAATAACTAGCCCACCCAGAATTTGAACTCAGGTCTCTGTGACTCCAAATTCCACAGACCACCCCACTTGGAAGGATGACTAAGATTTTGCTGCATGATACTGAACCAAGCTTGGGACACGACCTCATGGGACAGGGTTGATTTGACTTTTGACGTCCACTTAGTTTACTGATTCGCAATTGTCTCATCAATATAATAGAATTAATAACAACAACCCAGCAGTATTGTAGAGGTAGAGCACAGTGGAGATCATGAATGTAATGTGTGTCAGTGTGTATTATCCATGTTAATATTAATAAGGCATTGCAAATAAAGGGAATAGAGAAGGCAAGGAGGGAGTTGCAGGACACTCAAACTCCCAAGCCTTTTCATTTGTGCAACTATACACACTCCAAGTTCAGTTCAGTTTCCCTCTTTTCCGTGAAGCCTGCCAAGGTGGCGCTTGCTCATCCTGGCAGCTTCCTTCTCAGAGCTCTGGTGTCCTGCTGTGATGTCTCCTTGTTCCCACTGGCTGTGGTTTATGCCCCCATCTAGAGAGAGCCTGTGACATCCTGGGGGTCAGTTTTAGATCAAGGAAATGCCCTGACTCAAAAGTCAAGAACCTTCTCTTATGACATACATGCAAACATACACACGCTTCTAGATGAGGCTGGAATTTGTTCAGTCCTTCAGCTCCAGCCTTAATCTTTGGAGGACTGGAGGCAAATAATCTTGGGAAGTCACTAAGATTTGGGTCCCAATAACCTTGGGACCTATACTGAATGCCCATTGATGAAGGGGAGTGAAGGTGAGACACTCTAAGCTTTGTTGGAATAGGGCCGCCCACCCAGTGTTTCATCACCTCAGTTCTATAACATAGGCTTGGCTCTCCCATCCCCAATTTCCATGGATGTCTAGGGATGACTGCCCTCCCTACCAACACCTGGAGCAAGGGCATGGGGCTCCAGAGTGAGGTAGCTGTGAGGTCAAGTACAATGGGGAAGAGGATGGTGGCCTTTTGGTGAGGCCCTCCCTGGGGACACCAAATGGCTCTATCCTGCCTCCTGACATCCAACCATACCCAGAGAGACCAGAGCAAGGGGGTGGAGTTGGGCAGCCTAGTCAGGCACAGAGAGGGCTTACCTGTGGGCAGGGCTGGACACCCGAGGGCCAGGAGGAGCAGTAGCCAAGTCTCCGCCATGCCACATGAGAGAAGCAGGACCCAGCTGCAGACCTGAGGTGTGGGCTGGGGAAGAGGCGCCCACAAGACAGCCTCCCAGGCCACAGGCCCAGCTGCACCTCAGCTGCTCCACCACGGAGCCGTTTCCCTGGGTGAGAGGCCCCTCCCACCCCTACCCTGGCCCCCCAAACTCAGTCCTCTCTCACTGGGCCAGGGTGTCACTCCCACATCAGGAGCCAGATACTCATATTCCCTTCCAAATTTGAAAAAGCACTTCACAGTCTGCAAGACTTTTTCCTGTCACTAGCCCTGCTGGAGGGCAGCTGCCATCTACAGGGAACAGAGCCCCAGGCTAGACTTCACAAGCAGGCCTCTACCCCCCAGCTCTGTGAGTTCCATTTCACTGCAAGACAACAGACGCTCAGCGCTCAGCGAAGTCAAGGACCTGCCCAAGGCCACACAGCTGGCGGTGGCAGAACCAGGGCGGCAACTGTTTCCTGAGGGCTGACCTTACTAAAGCTAAAAAGATGCCTGACACATTTATTGGCATGTTGTTAAACTCTCCCCTTCAAATAGAAGTTATTTTCTAGGGCAGTTTCAGGTTTACAGCAAAATTGAGCAGAAGGTACAGAGATTTCTCTTAGAGTCCCTGGCCCCTCACATCAAACCCCTGCTCAAAAATAAACTTCTCGTCAATGCCATTTTTGGTGACTCCATTACATTTTGGCTAGAGCTGTCATTTTGACTCTGAACTTTCACAAGGAGGCATATATTCTAGCTAAATAGTAAGATATTTAGTCATTATAAAGCAAGGATTTATACACAAAAAGTTCTTTGATGTAGTATGTGTAAAAGCCAAGAGAAATTGGCAACAACGGGATTGTTCAATGCTGAGGGGAAGGATTAAATGAATGAAGTTTGAGGTATTTATACTAGTGAATACTATGCATCAGTTTTCTTTTTTAAGTTTAAAAACTGTTACATAGGCAATTATATCAAAATAAAGTAACATTTTGGCACAGATAAGAACTTATTACATACTTTCAGTCTTTTAGGAATAAAGGTATGCATCAGTTTTTAAAATCACGTTTCCAAAGAATGTTCAATGGCATCGGATGTAGAATAGTTTGGTTCAGAGTGTGGGCTGTGAAGCCAGAATGCCCAGCTTGCAATCCTGGTGACACTACTCGGTAGTTATGTGACTTTCACCAGATCACTCAGTTCCCTAGCCCTCGCTTTCCTCACCTGTGCAATGGGGATGACAAGAGCTCACAGGGACCCTGTGCTATTTGTTTATTTATTTTTTAAAGATTTATTTTATTTATACAAGAACCGGAGTCCAGGCCAGATGCACCAGAGGGTGAGAGGATTCACCAGAGACAGAGCGGGGAACAGAACAGGCAGATGGACTGAAGACACTGCTGAGGGGAGCAATAGGCAAGGCAGGAGAGGTCTGTCCTGCCATGTGGGTATCTCTGGCCGGCAGGGATGGAACCGGCACTGCAGAGGCTGCGGACAGCTTCACAGCCCTGCGCGCAACACCCCCGACCCTGTGCTATTTAAGCAAGCTGGCCCATGAACAGGGGTTGGCACAGTGCTTTTCATGTAGTCAATGCATCTTCTCTTTCTTAAATGTGTATATACATAGTCATATATTTACATAGTCATATATTTACACAGAAAGTTTAAAATGTTTGTCTTAGAAGAAGAGATACAATGCAGCCATTTTCACAAAATGGAGGTAGTTTAAGAGGATTATGTATAGTAAAGCATGTCAGAAGAATAAAAACAAATATTGGACATTTACATAGAAGAAGATTCAATGAAGTAAAACATACACAAAAACTAGTGGACACTGGGCCTCCCCGGTGGCGCAGCGGTTGAGCTCTGGGTTGTGAAGCTGCCCGCAGCCTCTGCAGCGCCGGTTCGATCCCTGGCCACCAGGCGAGGGTCCCACATGGCGCGCAGACCTCTCCTGCCACCCGCTGCTCCCCTCAGCAGTGTATTTCGTCAGTCTGCCAGTTCTGTTCCCTACTCTGGCTCTGGTGAATCCTCTCACCCACCCGCTCTTCTGACTGTACCCAGTGCTTGTATAAATAAATCAATCAATCTTTAAAACCCCCCCAAAAAAACTAGTGGACGTCGATGACCAGATAAGAGCTGGGTGGGTAAGAGGAAGGGGGAGGGGAAGGGAAGGGACAGGGACCAAAAAAAAAAAAAAAAAAAATTAGCATAAAGGCCTCTATGATGCTTTGTTTTTCTTTTCTGTATGAACCAACATATTCATCTTTCCTATTGGGATTTATCTCATATTTTTTAAGCCTATGGGTTCTTCCCCACATTGTCTCATTGTCTTTTGGCTCCTGTGTCCTTTAAGCCCCAACCCCCATTTAACTATCAGAAATTGATTTTGGGGTATAATAGAAGATGTGCATCTAAATCTCATTCCCCCCCTTTTTCCCTACTTCCCCCAACCCTCCCCCCCTCCTCACCCCCTCATCCCACTCCCACCCAAAGAGCTCATCAGTTATTCCAGCTAACTGAAATCTCTTCTGTCCACATTATTTGTGAACTTTCTTTATTAAATGTTCATATCTTGGCGGGTTTATTTCTCCCCATTTGCCCAACTTTTTGATTCTTCACCCCATTTTCATCCTGATGATTACTTTAAGGATCAGGTCAATTGCACCCTTGGACTTCTAAGGGAGGCCCGTATGGCCAACATAGCGTTTTTGCCGCCTCTCTTAGGGGGGAGAGTCCTGGAAGACTTGGGCACCCAGAGTTCCCAGACAAGCCCCGCCCAGGTGTGCTCCTTGCTGTGGGTTCTCCCCGGGAGGGGGAGGCAGGCAGGCAGGTGCAGTCCCTAACGACTGACTCTCCCGCCTTCCAGCCTGGGGGGGTTCTGGCCCCGGGCTCTAATACCACATGACAGGTGGTGCAGAGTCTCTGGCCTCTTTAGGGTTTCAAGACTTTCCAAGAGATGGGAAAGCAGAAGGCCCCCCACTCCCACCTTGGGCCTGCGCCTCCCTGGCACTGCCCAAGTGGACCACCACTGCTGCTGGGGTTTCCTTTCCACCCATCCACTCCCAACACCCTGGCCACAGGAAGCATTCCTTTCCCTTCCTCACAACTGTTCCCACCTTCCAGGAGCCCCCCAGATCTCCCTCTAACCCCACAAACTTTAGGGTCCTAAAGATGCCTGTGAGGACAGGGCACCCAGGGGGAGCTGAGTGCCTTCTCTAAGCTCCTCACATGGGAATAAATGTGCCATTTGCCTCTGGCTACTAAGAGCCTGTCCCTATGGACAGCTCACTTAATCCTCACAACTAGCAAGTCAAGCACCATCATCCCTGCATTACAGTTGGGGGAACAGGGTCAGAAAATGAAGTTACATGGCAGAAGATTCTCTAGCAGGCATGGGGGGGTTCACTACAGGGATGTATTAACTGGTCTCTCTTTCTCCAAAGCTCTTTCACCTAGCAAACGATCCCTTGCCTCCTTTATGTTACCCGAACAGGTAAAAAAAAACCATTTAAACTGAGGTGAGCCACAAAGGATGTGAGGATGTGAAAAAGAAAATTTAGGAAAAGTAGCAGTGCTTGCTTGGAAATATTGCTGATCTTACCTCCAAGGTCTGGCTGTAAATCTGACATAGATTAGCAGATTGTGACAAGCAGGCACATAGGGGTCAGATGTTCATGTGTAGAAATAGTGTCCAGGGCCTCCCTGGTGGTGCAGGGGTTAAGACGCAAACTATGAAGCTGCCTGCAGCCACTGCAGCATGAGTTCGAGCCCCAGCCAGGGAGCAACCCACATGGTGCAGCAGAGCTCTCCTGTCTCGCCTGCTGCTCCCCTCAGCAGTGTATTTCTTTTTCTTTTTTAAATTTATTTTTATTTATTTTATTTTATTTTTTTTATAGAGGCATGTTTTATTTATTTATTTGTTTGTTTGTTTGTTTTTGTTTATACATGCACTGGGTACAGTCAGAAGCGCAGGAGGGTGAGAGAATTCACCAGAGCCAGAGCGGGGAACAGAACAGGCAGAAGGACCGAAGTACACTGCTGAGGGGAGCAGCAGGCGGCAGGAGAGGTCTGCGCGCCATGTGGGACCCTCCTCTGGTGGCCGGGGAGCAGCCGGGGATCGAACCGGTGCTGCAGAGGCTGCGGGCAGCTTCCCAATCCAGCACTCAACCGCTGCGCCACCAGGGAGGCCCTGAACAAAGTTTTAAGGAGAATGTTTATACATTTGTAGACAGGGCATAGAGAAACCACTGGAGTTTCTACGCACCCTATGGTAACAATGGGGCGTCAGTACCCAAGGCCTGAAGAGGAGAGAGGAGGGAACTCTCATAGGGACTCTGAGTCCATGAGGGCTGTGTAGAGAGGGTGCCTGCTAATAGCTGTGACCTTCAGACGATGGACCTAGTGTCAATCCTGCAGAGAGGATTATAAGCCGGAGAATTCTGTGACTTCGCCCTCCTCCCATCTTCTGATCCCCAGCTGGTGCCCCCACAGACTAAATCCAAGGAAGGTGTGATATTCCTTTGATGCAGATCAGCTTCCCAGGGCACAGGGTTGGTGGGGTGGGAGCATGAATCTGGAGGGTCACAGAGAAGGTCATCTTATTCTTTGTCCAGATGAAAAATCCATGTCCCAGCAGGTACTATGTCATTGGGATGGGGCTTTAGTTTGGCCATGTTCCCACTGAAAATGAAAATACTAGGTACCACCAATGTGCTTCACTTCAGTCAGCAGGGAAAATTGGATTCATAATCACAGCTGCCAGATCTCCCTCCTTATTCTTTTTTTTTTTTTAATAGAGGCATGCTTTATTTGTTTGTTTGTTTGTTTGTTTGTTTTGTTTATACATGCGCTGGGTACAGTCAGAAGCACGGGAGGGTGAGAGAATTCACCAGAGCCAGAGCGGGGAGCAGAGCAGGCAGAAGGACCGAAGTACACTGCTGAGGGGAGCAGCGGGCGGCAGGAGAGGTCTGCGCGCCATGTGGGACCCTCCTCCAGTGACCGGGGAGCAGCCTGGGATCGAACCGGCGCCGCAGAGGCCGCGGGCAGCTTCGCAACCCAGTGCTCAACCGCTGCGCCACCGGGGAGGCCCATCTCCCTCCTTATTCTTTGCCAGCGCCTTGGCTTGACAGAATTCTCTACCTAGTGGGTAACTCAAAACTTTATTCTTATAGGATCTGAGTTCTAGGTAGTCTTGGCTTTGTTGGGTTGCTAACGTTTTCTGTTAACCAGGACTAGTGGACAGGTTTATTAAGAAGCACCTCAGTGATCTGTGTTCCGAATCTAGCCCCCACCTCTACTTAGCAGTAGCAATTTAATTTTCTTGGGGTACTAGGATTAATAACCCAGATATTACAATGACCCCTTTCTGTGCCCATTGGTT